TTTTCCTGCCAGGATAACCTCCCAGTTTACTTGAAGGTCACATGATCCCCTTGAACATTGTCCTCATTTAAGTTCATGCATCTCTGCTAGTATGTCTTTTGAAATTGTCTTCACTTTTCTTTTCATGAGACTATGGACTAGGGATTGGATCCCAATCACCAGATCTCCTTCCCTTTGTCATGGAATTGACCGAGTAGTGAAAAACAGTCATGGGAGGCCTATTTCAGTGATGGGAGTGGATGGCTGATTAGTGTGACAAAGCAACACCCTAATATGTTGTCAAAAAGGGTTGATGCAAATATTCAGCAGAAAAAGGAGCTTTTGTGATTCATATATCCAATAGTAACATATGCATGCTTCTTCCTTATCACCATTAGCCAGCCACTATATTTACTAGACTAGTCACCCTGTGGCTGTTTTCTTATCGCTGTCCAATTTCTTATCAAAGTGTCTGGTTCTCCACTAATGATGGAACCGTGAAAAGTGGTTAGCTGGAATCTCTTCCAAGTATAGCCTGTAGAATTACATAACAACCTCGCACCCATTGAAATGAGTGCATAGACTCTCAGGGGTACATGTGAAGGGGCACACATGAACCATGTCACCTTGGTGTGTATGCCTTGTACTTAAAGCGAATTCTACAAACTTTTTGAGATGACATCAGTTTTTTTAATAGTTCAAGAAGTACATGTTGGCATATATTTTCATTATGAAATGCAGAAAAATAATCAAGCCACAGCCAGCATGTGAGGGATTCATCCAGCTGCTGACATCAAAATATTATAAAACACGTACTAGTGAACTCATAAAAATATCCTGGTTTTGATAAGCTTCAAATGGAATAATTAGGTTTCATGACTACACAAAAAGGAACAGCTTTAGCATGTCAACCTGTGTGGAAGTTGTAACAGGGTGTGGCTATGATAATTGTCAATCAGGAGTTCAGCATGAAAAATGGTCTTTACATCGCAGAAAATTGGTTTTAGCAGGTGGGCACTAGGAAAAAGATACTGCCATCATAGCCCATGTTTAGCCATTATGTAATTTTCTTTCTGGGGTTCTTTGTGACCTTCATAGGATTTTGCTTCCTCATGTATATATATCAGAAGTAGGTACTAGAATTTGCAGAGTGATGAGAAAACCTGTGGCAAGTTTCATGAGTGGTCAACAAAAGTTGTTCCCAATTGTTTCACTGCACTTCTGATGTTTGGACTACATATGATCATAAGTGGCTTACTGTTATTGCTACACAAGAGTGGCTGGAAAGATAAACATTTGGGAGTTACTCACCTGCACCCAGCATACCCCCAGATGGACAGCACAGTTTGAAGTTGCTAATTTATGCTGTGCATAGTTTCCTCTCAGTTTCATCTTTTGCATCTATTTATTTCACTAACTGAAGCTTTCTTTTATTTATATTTTTGCGCATTTATTTCTGTATCTGCCCCGTCTTTGGTGGGAAAACACATCAAAGAAGCACCTGAGGTGTTCCGAAAGTGTTGCGCTGGGAATGCCTCCAGGAACGCCTTGTTAGGTGGAACACTTCAATTCACTTCTGCCATGGGAACATTAGGAAACGTAATACAGAACACCCCAGATATCATCATCTGGAACACCTGACATGTACCAAAAGTGTTGCGTTAAACACATTCCGGATAGGCTTTTTCAGGTGTTCCAAATAGGAAAAATTTTTTACAGTGTGAGATGCCTGGGAACACATGGTGGTAAACGGGAATGCTTTGCTCAGTTCGGAAGATCCATTATGCGTTAAATATAGGCTTTCTACAAGGTATATTCATTCCCTAATTTTCACTGGAATCTCTCAACTTGAAAATGTTCATTACATACCGGGAATAGAGAGAAATTTTAAACCTTTTCGTAAGTTGTTGGTGCATCCCACTATACTTGGGCCTGTGCTCAAACCTGCAGCCTTGTTGTTTATCGGTGTATAGTCACAAAGTTGTCTACAAGCTATGAATAAGGCCCATCTCTTGTAAATCTGCGACATGATAGCACGATCTTGAAAGGCCTATTGTTGAGTTCATTGGTATTATGAGAAACGGAGAACCCGGACTAGCCTGGACTTGATTATACAGAAGTCAATCAGCCCCACATAGAGAAGTCAGTGACACTCATGCATTGAACACAAAATACTTTTCCAAGTCACTCAAATATGGTTTTAATACCACAGGAGACATACCTTAAAGTCTGTAATGTTTCTGGTATGGTGTTGTATGGTGATATCCTGTTAGGGAAGGGAGAAAGACCAGACCTGCAATGGTTTTGTCATAAATAATGGTCACAAGCCAATCAAGTTAGCACCATTAAGAATGTGTTAAGTATACTGTAAGGAAACTGTTTAGGTGTCTAACTTACCTATGACATGTTTCAAGTTCATGGTAACTTACAAATCCAATTTTAACAGTGATATTATGGGATAATATATGGTGGTGGGCAGGTTTGTCTCATGAATAAAGGCTGGATATCAGCTCAAGTAGATGAAGATCATTATTTGTCATATTTGTAGGCCTAATTTGCAGCTCTAACTTGCTTAATCTTTGGTCAGGTTTTTATTAAGATGAAATTACTGTGGTGGTCCCATGAGACCTAAAGGCATCAAGTGTTCCATTTGAGAAAACTCAGTGCTTCCACATTTTCTCCCTATGCTTCAGCCCTCTATTCTCCATTGACCACTTTGTCTTCTCATGGAATACTATATTACTGGGAAGCTCTCAGCCTTATTTCAATGATCAGTACCTAGTAATTCTTGAAGAATGCCCACAGGAAAAGGAAGGAAAGTAGATACTTTTTCTTTCAGATTCCGTAATTGTTAACATTTAGTATTCTTAGCCTCAGCATGATTAGGACAAGGTCTGTAATGTCATCATTAGTGACAGGTCAGGTTGGAAGTACTATAGACATTCCAATGTTTTTATAATTTTGGGATCCATGAAATTGCTAATCCTGTGCGATGAGACAGTCAAGATATTGGGTGTGATTTGATGTTTGGGGTAAATCTTAACCTAATGAAAAGTATAACTATATCATTGTCATCTCTTATGAAGTTATTATTACAGCATGTTCTCTTATGAAGCAGATCTGTAAACAATGAAAGTCATGAAGGAAAGGAGAATAAGTTAATGCAGCAGATGGAGATGGCACATGCTGGCAGTACACCAAGTAAGGCACGGAAGGTAGGTATTATAGGCCTTGACCGTAGGCAGTACGTAAGCCAACATAAGGAGAAACGCTTTCAAGGTGTTACATTTATTTAACAGGTGAAGAAGGAGTATGAACACAATTGTGAGGAGTCCAGGAAGTTGAGTAAACTGTTCCCATTGGAAATGTCTGGCAGTTACGACCCTCGTGAGAGCCATATGAAAGTCTGTCTTGCTGGATACCAGGAGCTACCTTTTTTGGATGGTGCAAAGAAATATCAACAACAGTACTATCCTAACGCAGAGGAGACGGCGTACTCGTTCCCTGCTGGTTACGTCCTAAAAGAAAAAGAGCAGAAGAAGCTCTTGGAGGAAATGAATGCAAAACCAACGGGGAAGGACGGAGAAGCACCAAAGATTCCCTCTGACTCCACAGCAGTCGCCAAGGTCTTCCATTATGTCAAGGAAGAATTGACCGACTCACCCAGTTTCGTGATATATGATTACGTTTTCACCAAGACATTCTACGAAGCAATGGGAATTACAGGGCGCAAGAAAGGGCACAGGAAGCAAGCAAGTAGAGGCAAGAGGAGAGAAGGATTTGATATCTTGCAAGGTGATCATGATGTGTGTGGGATCGTTTTGGACGGCAAGCGAGTTCTTGTTGTCTTTTTCCAGGTGAAAGGCAGAGAGATTATGGGTAGTAAATACTCCCTGAAGAAGCTCGTGGGTTATGGAGAATATCAGTTGAAAAAGGATATGAGGGTTTTTCAACAGGTATTTGGAGCGAATACCTATTCAAACGTTTTGCTCTGTGGTTTCGTCGCTCTTCCTCATATGTCGAGGAGTGAGGTCAAGGAATCCTTGGGATGTCATCATGATAGCATCCTGACAAAGGATGATCTGGATCTCAGGGATTCATTTAGGGATTTTCTGAAGAGAAATGGGTTTACTCTGGGAAAGCAGAAGGGAGTAAATGTAAAAGCGAGGGATAGGTACTTAGAGGTTATAAGAACCTATATGGCAGCCTCAGTATCTGTGGAGGGAATGCCCAGAACAGTTGAAGACCTCCGGAAGAACGTAGATGAAGGGATGAAGAAGGTCCTCATTCTTCTTACTCCTCAGCAGAAGATGATTCTAAAAGAGGATCGGAAAGTGTTATTTATAGTTGGGGGACAAGGTACAGGAAAGACGTACCTGCTCCTCAACAGAGCCCAAGAACTGGTCGATCGAGGGGAGAAGGTCGTCATTGTCAATATGTCAGAGGGAGAGTTGACACATTTTTTCAGAAAGTGGAAAGAGTCAGAGTCGCCAGAGCGCCAGAAGAACATTGAAGTCATCACTCCAGCCGAACGTTCAGGCGATGGTGGAAAAGAAGTCGACTATATTTTAAAGATAATGAATGCACAAAAAGAAAAGCATTTTCTGATTGATGAAATGCTGGTCAACCACGGAATGAAGGAAAGGGATCCAGAGGAGGTAGGGCAACTATGGAAGTCCTTTGCAGAGAAAGTGGAATGCCGAACTATTTGGATAGTTTGGCGTCCCAGTGACAGCAATTACCCTGAGGCTTTTGATATGCAGAAAGTCGTTGATTCTGTGGGACACGAAAAGGTGGAACTCTTGACGGCAATCATGCGATGTACAAGAGAAATGGGAGAGTTCTTGGTCGGTGTCACCCAGTTCCTTCAGAAGAGGTTTCGGTGCCACAAATATTTGCCCATGCTAGGCCTGAAACATCAACTTCAGCGCCACACAGATCCACACGAAGCAAGAGTTTTGTTCGTAAAGAAATCATCAGACGATACTAGCGTGTGGGCATCTGCAGCTTTGGCCATTAGCCAGGAGTTCGATAGAACAGATGTCGGTTCCTTGCCCCTCGTCATAATCACAAGGACAAAGAAGGAGAAGGAAGGGTTGAAACGGGAAATTTCCCGAACAAAGAATGTCGCCTTCCTTGATCCTCGTGGTACATTCTGTGGGAGCCTCCGACCGGAATTCCTCATCTTCTGGGAGCTTGAGGTAACTGGGATGTCTTTCGAGCATGTCATCCTCTTGGATGATTCGAAATCAACCTATCGCTCCTGGTTTCATGCAGTTTGCATGGCACGACGAACCCTCCACGTGATCACTACAGATCCATTTCCCTTCGGTCATTGGGAAGAACCTGAGCAGAAGGGACTCGTCTCCTGGCGCCCTCTCAGTCCGCTACCTACAAAGTTGTCTGGTTTACCTGACCTGCCTTCGTATGAACAACTACAATTGAGCCCTTTCATTGGGTCAGACTCTGCCCTTTCGCGTTATGCGGTAACTGAGGAAAAGGTAGAACTTATTTTTGGAGGGGAGCATTCTGGGAAAACAGAATTTCTCAAGAAGAGGTTTAATAGCGAGACCGAGGAGACAAGAGAATCTGAGGCACGGAAAATTTACATCGACTGCAGCAGATGGAGCAAAGAAAAATTTCCGAGAAGCCTTTCTCTTGTGTACTTCAAAGAGAAAATGGAGAGGGATGTCGAGGTCTTTGATGTCCACGATCTCCAGGCAGATCTTAAACTATATAATGATAGTATTCTATCATGTAAATTCATCGAAGTACTCCTGGCGGGGATATTGAAGAACGGGACGATGGGACACCACATCGCACTCGACTATGTGCCTATTAATCGGATAGGAACTCATGGAGACACGGAGGGTTTGACACGTGACTGGAAATCCACTCTACAGCACCTCTGCTCTCGATTCCAGGCCTCTCTCGCCTCTATCACCATCTTCTTCCATCCCTATGTCGAATATCGAACAACTACTTTCGACATAGAGGATTTTAAGAAAGGATTTCGAGATTTCCCAGGTAAGATCACAACTTCTTTGTTATGCGCGGACAATCGGCCGTAAAAAAGAAGGAAAGAATAGAACTAGTCAAAGATTGGAGCAAATATTTTTCCGATTAAAACCTCAATATACCTTTCCAGAGAAAAACTAAGCGGTGAAGGCAGAGAAAGGAGAAGGCGTTCGCATGAAAAGTTCCCAAGGCCCCTTCTTTGCTCTTGTCTCACATATTCCCCATGCCCAGTCTCTCGTTCTTGCTAAGATACGAAGTAAAAAGGAGGGCCAGATCTAACGTTCCTTGAATGGAGCCCTTGATTTTTGGCGATTTTATTTTTCTCACCCGGGAATACCTCACAGCTCATCATATTGGAACGGTACATTCACCAATTAGGGAGTCGAAAGGCTTTTATGGCCTGAAATAAAGCCTAAACTTTCTGTCAACAGCGCCTTCATCCATTGACGAGCAGGAAATTTCTCATCAGATAAGGAGAAAACGTGGACTTAATGTCCTTGACCTAGATTGCAGAAGCACAATGATGACTCCTTGCCTTTAGTTTCTTAAGTGAGAAAACCATAGGCCTATATTCTTTTCGAACTCAGCTATATGTTCAGTGACCTGTTTATTCGTGAGTTGTGCCTGATTTGCTTGAACTTGCAGCGGCTACAGAGGTAGCCATGTTCCCACAATGACGTCATGGTGGAGTTTGGCTGTTCTGGTCGCAGTGTTTGAACACGAGTAAGGTTTCAAAATATGCTGCTGGAAATATAAGATTCTCTGAGCTACCAATCAAATGCTGAAGACTTCAGGGCTGCAGAACTGTCTATATCTGCATATTGACTGTATTTTCCCACAAATAAATGTCATTCAGTGTAGACTTGTGAACTTAACGTTGTCAACAACCTACGGCGGCTGGAAATGGTTTGTTAGGTGTGACGTCTAAGTCATCATCAAGTTCCTGGTCTGTCGGAAGGTCACGATGATATTTATGGCGTTCGCCGACCTTAATCGGAGTCAATTGATGCTACGATCGAAGAAGTCTACGAACTAGTGCTTCAGGATAGTCTGATCATCTGGGTTTAAGTCACGCGACAAATGGTAAACACCCATGAACCCGCACAAAATATTTTCACAGAGATTCTGAGGAGAAAGAAGATTAATTACAGAAGGCTTCCAGTTCCCTCAGATGAGAGGAGGCAGCGCGTGGCAGTCTGTTCTCGTACCTTTCGCTTAGCTCGAAGAGTTTCCAACTTCTTCCATAGGGTTGTGGCAGGTAACGAGATGTAGGTTGACAGCATGAAATATGAGTTGAAGGGTCATATAGTCGAACGGCGGATGATCCAAGAACAACAGCAGAAAGGAAAGTGTGGGCTGAATCTTACGCAGACAGTCCATTTTTATTGAGTGACCATCTACCCAGATTCTCCATATAAATTTTCCAAGCGTTTCCATGACCGTAATATACCTCTGTCGCAGTATCTATCATGGTAGTTGGCAACCTGCTCATCTCTTGCTCCGTCCTCTAGAAGTGAAGATCCTGGATATGGGATATCAAAACGAGGCCTTCTCCGACCTCCTTCAATATATCCTCAAGCACGAATCCCCGTATGAGCTACAAGTGAAGCCAGGAACGCTGCCCACTCGGCCCCAGCCCTCCTCTCTTGTGTTCGGGGAGAAACCCACCCTCATCACTCCTCCAAATCATGAACATTACCACGGGGGGTGGAAATGCTTGGGTGGCCGGGGATGCGTCGCTGTCACTGCTGCTGAATATCTTCTCTCCCACGCATTGGTATGTCATTCATTTTCTCTGTACTGCATCCGTTTCATATTTCTGCATCAAGGATAAGCCTGCGGAGCTCGGCGGGCAAACCAATCAACTTGTGTAGCACCTAGACGTGTTGTAGCTTCAGTAGTCAGGCAAACCAGTTACCTGGTTGCTTATGGAGGTGTACGGAGAGACTTGAGTTGATTTTCGGTGGGTAGGAATAATTCCGACACAGAAAAGAAGCGACACAGAACATCGAACTGCAAATGCTTCGACACGGATTAAGCTAGGAAGTAAGTGCATCGACACGGAGCAACATCGATCGAATTATCTCGAAAAAATTGCTTCTCGGAATAAAACCGGCACAGAGCTACTTCGACAGGAGCTTACCCGGATTTGCATCGAAAATAAATATTCAAGACAGGAACTACGCCGACATAGAATAACACCGACAAACTAGCCTAGTTGAAGGTGGTGGTGGCGATATCATCACGTCGATGTCTCGCATATTGTGGGCAAAATATCTGTGGGCTAGGTGACTAGCGATGCTTCATTCCATCATATGCAGAATGTGGAAAAGATTTGACAAATGCACAGTCGATTGCACAAAATTCAAAATCGAGAATTTTCGGGGGGGGACAATGGAATAGTTATGAAAGCATGGAAACAAGTTCAATTAATTGTTTGATTGAGAGAGTGAGAGAGAACGGTCTGATTCCTTAAGAAAAACTATGAAAAAATTACCAATTACTTGCCTACACTGTGGACATTTACCGTCTTGCGCAATTATGACTGAAGCTATGCTTCATCGTGTGCAAGGGACGAGGGCAGAATCTCTATCACGAGTCGTGCAGATGTCGCATAAGTGTGTTACAGACCCTGGTGGCAGTGGGGTGGACTGTTGTATTTCCTCAATGTGACAGAAGAGATCTGGAGATTCGGATACCCAAAGTTAGGAGTTTCAGGTCAAGATGAGAAAGGGTTCACGTGCATTCCCATTTCAGAACGCACCAGCTCTCGAGAAGTGGGCATGTGTGCAGCGTGGAGGTTTTGATCTGGGGAATGGGATCCTTGGAAACTGAGGGTGGTGTAGGTGCTGACAATGTGCGCTGGGATAGTGTTAGTGAATAGTGTCACAGACGTAGTGGGTCCGCTCTGCGTCATAGTCAAACTCTTTCTGGAAGCTGGATTTACTGGATCGCTTTAACCACTGTATTTAACCGTTTGTAGATACATAGGACAATAACAATCCCTTTGTGCCAGTGGCGCAATCAATTCTAAAGTTTGGGGTGGGTTCGGAGTTCACATGACCTGTCCTTCAAATGTCTCCGAACGCAAGGTGTTATCAAATCATCAGGAGAGATATACTCAAGAAAAACGCGAAAAGGCGCGAACACGCGAACAAAGAAAATGAAACAAGAAAAATGTTTTGAAATGGTGGAAACGGAATTTGAACAATAAATGTTTGGAACTATGAAAATGATTAATCATTTCAGGCTAGTTGAGAGGTTTGGTTAGTAGTTCACGCCAGAGCCAGACCACTTGCAGCTGCGAACTGAAGCCTGAATGCGTGGGAAATGAAAGATTTTTATTTTTGTACTCCATAGAATGAAGTCGTTTCGTTAGGAACAAATTGTAATTAATTTAATTGCCGACCTTGTTGATTCTTGTCTATTGATTTCCCATTTTATTGTATTTTCATTATTAGAAGGATAACATCGTCGTGCTAATCTCGGATCAAGAGGTGAAGGAGGTCTTCATTGAATTTCTGGATCGGATGAAAGCGCCCATCCCTCAGATCCACCATCCGGAGAAATACCGGGGATGCGAGAGTCATGAGGTGATGTGTGTGGGGGTGGAGGACTCCTGGATGGTGGAGGGGATCTCCCGCGCCATCAGGACTCTTTTCATCGTCGATGGAGGGAATCATCCCACGGTACAAAGCCGAATGGAACTCTGGACGGCGATGGAGAGGGGAGGTCTTCTTCTTCGCCGCGTTATCAGCCGACCCTCTCCAAGTGACTGGAGGGCCTTGAATGAAAGAAGCGACTTCCTAAAGGTACAGCAGTGTTAATTTCGTCGATGGAAACTGCGACTTAAATATTCATTAGCGAATGTTTTTCTTTTATTTCGTCGGGTGACGACGACAAGACAAAAATCGCGGTTCGTTACCAAATGATGGGCTACATGCACCAGATTCGTTTAACTTTAAATTGATTCATTTTCATAATGGGCGTCTATGGGAATAAGTGTATCTCAGATAAACTGATTCCCATAGGGGACCATTGTACGATAAGATTAGTTTAGCTTAAACAGATTCGGTGCGTGTCACCTGATGAAAATTGACTGGAATGAACGAACGGTAGGAAGAGGAAAATTCATGCTTGGCCGAATGAAGAAAGTTTGACAAAAGTGAATAAAAACTTCAGCCGATGAGAATGAGTAATGGCAAAAATAAAACTTGCTGAACAAGTTCGACTGGTGAGAAACGATTGAAGATGGAAAGACAATATGGAAGAGGGAGGAAATTTGAATGACGTTAATGTTTCTTGCGTGACTATAACAAATCTTCAATTGAACATCCGAGCCATGTCCTCAAGTGATTGTCACAATCGATAACCGCACTCCTTGGTAATAAGAAAAGTGGCTGCTGCTGCGTGCACCATGATGGGGCTTTCACGATTTTGCTTTCTCGAGGCTGTAGTCCTAAATAAAACCTCCAGCGTTCAGTAGAGGCAGATACGAGGTCTCTTCAAGTCAAATTGGAATACACTCTTTTTGCAAGATTCCAAATGTTCCTGGTTTTTTGCAACGTGAGGTCCTGCAGACATAGGCAGGGCGCCAATTAGAAAATATTGTTTTATTGGCCCATCTGTTGAATGATAAACAATTAAGGCTGGGATTGGCCTTGGCCGTTTGCTTTTGCAACCTAAAATGTGCAACGTTAGACCTACGGATAGGGCATGCAATAAATATATATGATAAATCGAGACACTTTGCCTGCAGCAGTTATGCTTTTTATGCGTCATGGCTTCATTCTTTCGATGAGAGTGTCTCTGTGCTGACCTAGCAGACCGTAAAATGAGTTTTTTTTTATTTACAAAACTGGCAATAGACCGATTGTCTTCCATCCCAGAGTGAAGCTGTCGGCAGGTCACCCTTCGCTATCAATTTGTCGAGAAAGGTACTTTCCAAAAGAGTCCGTTGAGCCATTTGGACATTGGGTCTTTGGGCCTTGAATGAAGGTACATCGTCTACACGACTAAAGCGCAGAATGAATTTCGTCGACGATGACGATGAGGAGACGGGAATGAGATCTGGTGACAACATGACGATAATTATCTAAACCGGCGATAATTATCTAGACGAACGGGAAGGTTACGAAATCGACGGATGATGAAAATTTTGGAATGAGCGGTGACAAAGTGCATGATTGACCAACATAAAAAAATTCAGGGGAAAAGAAACATAACTATGGCGAGGTTGAAATTGGATCGCGCCCAAAAAGACAAAAATTAACGAATAACTAAAACTTGACTAAATGCATGGAAATTTTAGTCGATGAGACGAACACGATAACGATATTGATCATTTTCTGAGTATATTAACGCATGCATATTTTTCGGCCTGATACTCATTGTTAACGCTATCTCTTCCATGTCTGTCGCATCTGTTCACGCACTCATGACGTTGGGTCATTTTACCTTGTCCGTATTCCTTTCCCCAGATCCCTACTGGTCCGGTGATAGAGGAAGATGCGGAGAAAGGAGCATTTCTTCGGAAAGGTGATTCATATAATCTATTTTCAGAATATTCGAGTAATCATCGTGGGAATTAATTTGACGATTAAACAAATAATAGTGTTTGGTTCCTTTAATTTGCACTCAACGTATGCTGGCAATCGATGATGCGATTGCATTCAAAAAGGGGGAATGTCTTCTCTTGCTGGCTCTTCAGAGTTCGATCGGTTCCAAAAGTGCAATCCATTTTCCACTTTTACCGTTTCTTTTTTCGTCTGCCCTCTTAACGATTCCTCAACTACTATGCAACTTTATTCCGTTCGTCAAACCCTACTCCGTGCAAGAAGTTAAAGTGATATTAGCTTAACTCTTGAAGGCAATCGCCCCGTGATCAGATTGGATGAAGACAATGTTTTTTTCCTTCAATCAGATATAATGTCGATAGAGATGTGTGAAAACGGATCTGATGAGGAAAAGCTCATTTTAAATTAGAGCCTATTGAATAATTTGGCATGGTTGTTTTTTTCTTTTCGGTTTTTCGTTGTCCTGTTTCGCGTCTTTTATGGCGTCTGAAGGCCATTTTATGTCTTTTGTTTCGGCCATATTGGTTTAGAAATAATGAGAAGAACCGATTTCGAGATCTTGCGGTCGAGGAGTCACATCACACGGCAACTATTTTTTTTATGGAAACTTTTTTGTCGTGAAGGTGCAAGAGTCACCGAGCAAAGCAGAAAATGGGTTGAAAAGGAAAAAATGCTAGCCCTGTTACCTGCCATGTCATGAATTCCATCGCCGCTCCATCCGTGTCAAAAAGCTGAAAAGCCGAAAGGTTGGAGAACAGGAAAGAGAGAACAAACCTGTATTTTCCCATTTGGCAGGGTTGGAAAAGCCATAATTTTTGGAGCATCGATAGGTCACCAAGGTCTTCAATGGCGGTGAGACATACTGTTGCGTTAAGCAGCCCTGAATTCATTAGTTTTTTTTTCTTCTCATTTTCTTCGCTCAACAAGACGAAATGCACGACAGTGGCCTGTATCAGGTGGCCTCCCTTGCAGCCATTCAATTTATACTAAAGTGCTGTGCTGAAATTCTCTTTCCTTTGCAGAAAATCGGAGGGTTTTCGCCTTGGGAGCAAATGAAAGAAAAACCAAATATGGGATTTGGGAAGTCTTTCCGTGGGAAGTACCTCATCTCCCTCCGACTCAATGGTTTCAGACGAACGAAAGTGTCGTCGACTTGTTCCTCGCTCACTCGGGCAGACTCATCTACGGCAGAGAGAAGGAAGTTCGGATCTTCCACTTGGGGAAGAAAAATCCCTGTGAAGCTCCTTGGAAGAACTGGGGGGAAAAATTCCCAGTCCACGATCCGTTCTCCATTCAGTTTACCGCTGGTGCGATTTCTTACGACTCTCTCTTCCTCATGGGAGGAGAGAGAAATCCTCAAAAAGTACTCCAGCTGGATTTATATACAGGAATATGGATGCCCTTGTCCCCATTGGAAGTAGGAAGAAAGAGCGCAGTTGCGGTGATGCGGAATCCCCACACCATCATGGTCTTGGGGGGTGAGGACCCCGAAAAGAGGCTGCTCTCCAGCTGCGAGTTCTTGGACACAAGAGAGAATTCGTCGAAATGGGTCCCTTTTACGCACGACATCCCCACGCCCGTCGATAATCACGCGGTCACTCTCTGTAATGACCGTGTATACATATCTGGGGGATGGAACGGAAGGGAATCCATGAAGAATGTATTCAAGATGGATGTGAATGGAGGCTGGGAGGAACTCCCCCCTTTAATTTTGAAACGACAATATCATGGCATGATCAACGACGGGGAAAGACTTACTGTCATTGGTGGGAGAAAAGCAAAGGAGACGAATGGAGGGAGTGGAGCAAGGGAGGAGGTCCTGATGACAGAAACGCTGACCCTAGATGGTGGAAAAGAGTGGGTCAACGAGGGGGAACTTCCCTTCTCTACTCTTTGGAAGGCAACAAAAATGAATTAATAAGAAAACTCATCCCCCCTGTTATCGATGTCCTACCAGCCTTAAGTATATACTCGCACAAAGGTTAGACTTATCTGTTCACTATAAACGTCAAGGTATGATTTCAACGGAAGGATTTTTATGTCTTGTCTCTCGACTTTCTAGGAAACGAGTAGAAGCACCGATGACCATCGTTTTGCGCATGGAGTCGACTCGGGCTATTATTGATGCGACGCGAGAGAACTCTCGTCTGGTTATTTTTCTTGCATATTGTCTATTTGTTTTCTTCAAGTCCATTTTTTGCTAACTCGGATCTCAACCAGGTTCATTAACGTCATTGAAGTATATGCGATAGCTGAGTAAATTTATGGGAGAGCGCGCAAAAGGGTTGACATCTGACTGGGCATCGTATGAAGAGGTCGGCCGTGTTTTTGTGGAAGACAGGGGGAAGGATGTGAATTGAGGTCAAACATGAATTGCTTTCAAAAGAAAGAAGGACGGAGGAGGGAGGAGAACAGGATTCGAGAGCCGAGCAGGATTTACAGCTTTCAGACAGGTGGAGTAAGAATTGGTTCAATAGGTTTAAAGTGTTAGTTCACATCGGTCAAAACACCGATAGTTCTTTTGAGTTCGGTGTCGATGAGCTCGAGGACGCGAACGGGGAAAGAGACCTTGGAATCACTATCGATGAGAAACTCCTCGCACGCGCAAACGATAGAAGCTAAATGTAACATGATCCTTAGCCAGCGAACGCACGCGCGCTACTCTTATGAGGCACTTGTAAGACCCTATTTGGAGTATTGTATTCGGTTTTGGAGGCATGCAAATGAAGGCGAAATAACGACGCGCAAGAGGGTCAAGCTTAGTGTAGTGTTTGAGTGGCCTTTGGTCCCTGAGAGCGGGGCAACACTGTGGGGAGTGCCGGCATGGCCGGAAGCGAGGAAAGGGACAGGGGAAGCGTGCTGCGTGGGCATGGCGGAGGGCAGGTCGGTTCGGCGAGGGTCGTGGTGCAGCCCGTTGCATTGATCGGGCCGGGACCGGATTTGGAGCCCCGTGATTGCCGTTTCGCCTTCTGGATCAGGCTGGAGCTCCTTCCAACGCGTCTCACTGATTGGACTGTGATTGTTTCTCCCCACCTACACGCCGCTGCCTTGCCACTTCTTCATCTGTATTTTATTTCCTTTTATATTTTATATCCTTGGCCTTGAGGTTATTGGTTTGTTATCTGTGGGATCATGTTGTTACCCCTCCTTTGAGTGGCCCCTTTTACTATTTATCTTTTATAGGTCTAAGCTTTATTGTCTTTTATAAGAGTTCATTTGAAAGTTTTAAATATATATTATCAGGCTTAGAGAGGGACTGATCTTTTATTGAACCACGCCCTCGGTGCAAGTGAGATTCCAACGACACCTGGAATGGGCCACCCACATAGGTTGGCTGGGTAGGCGTCACATTAGGGAACGATCAAGGAGGTAAGGGGACAAACGAGAGATGCGTTTACCCACACAGCACAGGTATATCCCACAAAGACACCCTTTTGGGACAAGTGGGATGTCCCAGAGACAAGGAGTAGGGACATCTTAGGGATATCAAAATGTCTGGGCCCAATGACAATGGGTGAGGGTGAAGAAAGGTATGGGAAAACAACGAAACTAACGCTTAGGCTAAAAGTATCAACTGCTTGTTCGACGTCCTCTTATGCGATTGAATTGTCTTGCTGTAGTTGCCCTGTTGTATCGAAGATGCCATGGTTCTGATTTCCTATGATATTTTGATAGAGAAGTACGAGTGCGAAATCTTAGCGCGCTCAGATTTTGGATATTAAACAATCGTGTTTCAGTTGTAGAGCATCTCCAGGAAAATTGTTCCGTAGAACTGCCTGTTTATGCACAAATTAGTATGAGAGTTCTATTAGAAATATTTTAATGGTACTGTAATATCCCACCAGTTTGGACTGATTATGTCGTAAGACTAAGACCTAAGCGCATGTTCGGTTTAACGTTGCAAATCCATGGGCTGACGCGAGAGTCGAACAGTACGTTTGACTCTTGGTTTATGCACGTATGTAGTGACTTGGAGCGTATCAGCGTGCAAGCCTCCCGTCAGCGGACTTTGATGTTTCTCTTTCAATGCAAAAGAACACAGATATAACGTTCTCATGACTTTCATTTTCACCATCATTTACGGATATCACCTGTTCATTGTTTCTGCCAGCTGTCGACTACAAATAAAAGATAATTGGAAAAGAGAGCTACTGATGTGCACGATAAAAAAAAGAAGGAACTGATGTCTGCTGCTGGAATCACTTTAATTTTTACGTCCTTCCCTTCGCAGAAATATTTATATTCGCGATGTGATGACTTCTTATTGGTTATACCCTAAACCCTTTTGAATAGTCCAATTGTCATCCAACTTGGCAACATCAACAGTTTTAAATTAATTTTCCCTGACTAAACCGGTGAATCGAGTGGGAATCATAATTCTTGCTCCCGCCAAAGTAGGGTGGATGCAGTTAATCGAAAATCGTTTAAGTGGTCCCATATGAGCTATAGGTCTTCAGGTCAGAATGGCTCCATTGGGGAGAGTCCCACGAGAAAGGGAAAAGTAATAAGCAGCCATCAGCTAAAAAGGCGAATGAAAGAGATGTCAGCAATCCAACTACACTCTCAAGGCTTTGATGGAAGCAACCGACGCAGTGAAATCGGGGAGGATGGGATACAGAGCTGCTGGCCATCGATGCGATATTCCCTCAACGACAATTTTTTATCGTCTCCATAGGAAAATTGCGGGGTTTGGGAGCGGAAAAAAACCATTGCTCACCGAAAGTGATGAGGAGATGCCGGGAAAGTACATTCTTTCAATGGCTGCAAGAGGGTAAGAACATGTTCCTTTTACGGGTGGTTGAATTCATTTATTTACATTTCTTGTAATCCCTCATGACGGGCCCACTGTCGCCAGGACGAAATGTCGCCGGACAAATTGTCGCCAGGACAAAATGTCGCCAGGTCAAACTGTCGCAGGAAAAATGTATTGGACTAATGTTAACGAGACATACTATCGCTTGACAAAATATTCGCGTTACATAATTAAAGATGCGCGATAGTGCTAACTCGATCATGTTGGAATCGTGCGTAGAGGTCAAGAAACGGGTCCAAGTGTGATCCCCTATCATTTTAGAAGAACCCTGTCAACGAACATACAGCTAAGATGATAACCATCTATAGACAATAGGTCATTGAAACCATTTCAGGAAGCCTGTACGTTCCCACGCCTCTTACTTTCGGTGAGTTATTTGGAAGAGGAATGTGAATGTTTCCTTCAAAGGGTTGATATACATCTTGACATTTCTTGGTGGGGGGGAGGGAGGCAGCCCAAGGAAAAAGATTAATTTTCCTCTTTTTCCGCCCCCTTACAAGTCCTCCTCACCACTAATCCTCTTGTTTTAAAAAACCCCAATGAAGGAGACTCCTACTCCCCCACTGAGATGCCCATAAGCTAAAAAGGTCATTCAAAATAGATAAGGAAACCAAATAGAAGTGGAGGGAAAAAAAATCTACCGTATATAAAGCGGGGGATTTGCAACTCATAACTCAATTCATCTGCCTACTGTGCCATTCCCTGACGAGATGGAGTTGATTCAAACAGAACACGCAGAAGCTGCTGCATCAAAACTATCGATTCACGAGGGAGAAGTATGGTGTTCAAGGGAAGATCATTTGGAGATGTGAAAACAGGACTTGTAAAGCAAGAATGCATACTCTTGGAGATCAAGTGCTGAAGGAACCAGGTGAGCAGAGTGTTTTTGCATATCTATCCATTTGGAGAGCTTTGAACTAATGTATTTGCGTTAGAACTGGAAATAGTTTTCTGAAGTCTATAAGTAAGAAATCCGATGTTCTACACATAATAAGCTATGTAATAAATATATACAGTATATTGACTAAAATAGACATACTTCATGAACATTTTTGATTGCCAATTTATAGCTGGGATTTATTTTTCTATTATGTTCTTTTTTCTTAAGCCTTTCTTAAGCGTTCGTAAGAAAAGTTCACAACCAATTTTCCTTTTATAGGAGAACACAATCATGGACTGACCATGGTAGATCTGAAGTTGATCAAGTGCGCGCTGATATGAAAAGACGGGCTAAAGAAACTGAAGAAGTCACCAGAAATATCGTTCAACATGGCATAGCTCTTGTTCCCCTTGACAAGATTCATATGTTACCGAGTCAAGAAACTTTGAGCCGTGACATCCGCCGTCAGAGACAGAAAGCTTTAGTTGGTCAGAA